AGCATATTTAGAAACATCCCAATAAGCTTTAACATTCTCTGACTCATACACGGGCTTCGGCTTGTCGGGTGAGTACCAGGGTGGTATCTCGTCTATGAATCCCTCATCATACAACAGTTCGTAAAACAGTACCTTTAGTGCTGCGTCGTGTCTAGAGAGATACTTGCTCTGGGCCAGCGCACTGCATCCTGACATTGTTATTATTATTATTATTATTATTTATTTTTTTTGAGAATGTATCCAACACTAGACTTGCATCTTGGTTGTTTCCTTAATCAGTCTGAAATAATAACATTTCCAGGTCGATATGAAAATCAAGTGTAATCAGTGATGATTGATAACAGTTACTGTAATATGATTGATGTCTAAGAACTGGTCATGGAAAAGCCATGACTTATCTGTATGATTCACAAGAAGGAGCCTAAAAGTGTGATTGCTTTAAATCAATTCACCTTCTTGGAAATTTAGTCGAAACGAAAAGATAGCTGCGGTTGTCCTCTATTTCTGATTGTATATACCCTCACAAAAGGATGTGAACTAAGTCCCGTGCAAGCAGAAAAAGTCTTTGCACTTAATATACCAAACATTGTTGACAGTGAGCACTGTACCTTAGAGGTAAATTGTTGACCAGCTTCAAAATCCATCTCTTCTGTTTCTTGACACACCTGTTACAAAAGTGTTACAATGAAGGTGAGAATAGAGGTACATGCAAGGAAAACGGCCCATCGAAAATTAACAGTTGGTCAAGAAGCTAGAGTTGCTCTCGGCTGCACCTCGAGCAACTCTTACGCATCTTTCGTGATCTCCAAACTTTCCACGTGCATTAATTCTCGATAAACGCACAGCTGACGCATGAGCCAATTGTTTTCTAACATTTTCAACGCTGTAGTTTATGTTTAAGGGACAGAAATGCACAATGGGAAATTGAAGTTAGTAGTTAGTAGTAGGCTATAATGATGCCTACTGCCGCCTCTTGGTCAGAGGCAAATTCATAATTAGTATTTTGGTTGTAAAGGGCCAGAATCAGTTATTCCATTTGGTTTTTCCTGTGCAGGAAAATGCACAATAGGCGTCCTGTAACACTTTTTAATTGGCGTAAAACAATGTGGTGGACATACCCTAAGAACGAGGCTGAGTTTTGGATCGAGTACCAGTTAGGCTTTAAGTGCTGGGCCAATAACCAAGCTTGTTACAATTTATACTTATCTTTCGAGTGAACTTAAATATATTTATTTAGAGCAGAAACCTAATAATGTGAATCACTTCAATTGTTAACTTACAGATGAAAACAACAACCCTTGAGAACAGTAAAAGTTCATTCGCTGATTGTTTAAATTCGATTAATTAATACAATCGTCTTATGTAAGCATTGGCGACTGGATCCATTAGTAGATTAATGTAGCTGAGGAAACAACCATACTTTTCTGACAAAAAAAAAACTTGTGGAAGTCACTGCCACATACCTTTAATTTGAATCAGTAGAAAAAACTTGTGGTCTGAAAAAGGCCCTCTGTGATGAATCGTACTGAGGCAAAAAAACTTCAGAGGTTTGTTAATAGATGTAAGCTGGAGAAATTCTTGTAAACAAAGTCATCGCGTTCAAATGCAAATTTTTATCGAACGACCCCGCATTCCTCTAACGATTTTAGAATTTCCAAATTGTCCCGATTAGCTCAATGGATAGAGCGTTG